ACTGATCTTCCTGCCTCTGTCTTCTAATGATGTCATATTCCTACTGTTAATTACCAAAAGCTCTTGCTCTTGCTCTCTAGCCACCATGTGGGTACTGGGAATTAAACTCAGGACCACTGGAAGAGCAGCCAGTGCCCTTAACCGCTGAGCCATCTCTCTAGCTGCTCTTCCTCTTTGGGACTCAGGATCTAATGGGAACAAACAGTGAAAATGAAGTAAATGAACAGTGGAAAATCAACTGTGAAAAGTGCTATGACTCAGACTGAGAGAGGAGAGGATACTTGGAATAGCACTGTGTTGACGAGGTGGCTTAAGCCAAGCATGGAGCCAGCCATGTCTAAAACAAAAACAAACAGGCAGAGCAGTTGAGGCAACCATACAAGCAAAGTACAAAGGTCCCAGGGTAGAAACAAGCTATGCATGTTTGAAGACCAGAAAGTGGGCTCTGTGGGCTGTGACTTAGTGGGCAAATGGTACCAGATGGAGAGAGGGACAAGGGCCCCTCTGTAGTAGCAGAAGACAGTTGGCTTCACCACATCAGGGACTGGGTGGGGCAGCTGGATACCTTGAATGCAGGAGGAAGAGAACCAAGTTTGCTTTTTATCTTATGTGTTAAAGTGTACTTACCATGGAGGGGTGGAGTGCAGCATGCTGGGGGTGGGGGGGTGCTCTGACCAGCTGCAGGAATCATGGTTCCTGGGGACCAAGCTCAGCTCACAGGTTGTTGTAGTAAGTGTCTGTACCCTGTCCACCTATTGTCCCGTCGCTGATTTTGGCTTTTCTGGGAAGAGAAGCTAAGATGTTACAGTAGAATTCAGGAGAAGGCATCTATGGCTTGCTCTTCAGTGATTGGCAGTAGCAGGACAGAAGAGTGGATAGACTCCAGCCATGTTTTGGGCATGCTGAGGGAAGAAAAGATCAGGTTGGGTGAGGGTAGGTCTTGTTTGCCTGTTGTAGAAAGAGGTAATCAAGTTGGATGTAGGCACATGGAACCTGTAGTCAGATCAGTCAGCATCTGGAAGCTCCTTTCTGCTCATTTTAAGGAAACCTACTGTAGAACTGTGTTTTCATTTCTTCTTGGGCCTCCCCAGATAAGATAGTTTACCTGCTTTTTTTTTTCTTCCTTTCCCATTAATTTATTTATTCACATTACGTACCGATCACAGCCCACCGCCAGCCCACACCTCCCAGTTTCCCCCTCACACAAGCTCGCCCCCCCCCATAGAAGTGGGAGACCGCCCCCACCCGTACCAACCTACCCTAGCACATCAGGTGACTGCAGGACTAGGTACCTCCTCTCCCGCTGAGGCCAGACAGGATGGTCCTACTCAAAGCTGAGATGCATGTGAATTTCAACACCATGGCTCACCCTACCCTGGGAACCCACCATGTGGTTATTCTAGAGAAAAATCGGGTTTAGGATTCCATGGGAAGCTGCTCTGGAGATTGAAAGGGGCAATGTTGACCTTGAGCTGCCAGGCTGCTGGGGCCTGACACAGGTTGTCATTGTACACATTCGTTTTCTTTGCCCCTCCCAGATTGGTGAGATACTCCAAAGTGGTGTCCCCATCCTGATGGGCTGTTGGTGGCTTGGCCTTCAGAGGTCCCCCCAAGGCCTAACTTTGTATAACAGTCCTGTTCTGTCCTAGCAAAAGCGAAAAGGTGTGGAAGGGCTCATTGACATTGAGAACCCCAACCGGGTGGCACAGACGACTAAGAAGGTCACACAACTGGATCTGGATGGGCCAAAGGAGCTTTCTAGGAGAGAACGGTAATGTCTACTTGGTGGACCTGCAACCTAAGGACACAGACTAGGGCCCCAAAGTGGGCACTCTACCTCCCAGCCACACCTCATTGACTTCATGGGCTGAGATACCCTTGTGTCCTTTTAATAGGCCAAAAGCTGCTAGGATTCTAGCCTGCCACCCTGTTCAGAAGAACTTACCTGAGAACTCTACAGAGAAGGGATTTGAGTGTCACTGAGGCTGTGGAGGACACTGTTTCTCTACCTCTCCCTTAGGTTTGATTTGGTTAGAGTGTGTGCATGCAGGGTTCTGCCACTTTACTGAGCAGCCATGAATAAGTTACTGTCCTCTCTGGGCCTTAAGTTCTCACTAGTACAAAAAAGATCCCATTACTTTGCCCAACAGAAACGATGACCAGAACCTTGAAGCAGCCTTGGTTAGTCAGTCCTGAATAACTAAGAGACATCTCAGTCTGGCCCATCCCTGCCAGGATCTGCTGGCCAATAGTGTTCTCGCTACATCTCCATAGTGGGTGTCTTGTCGGGTCTCCTGAGTAAAGTATTTTCCCCATCCAGCCCTTGGTGGCCGAGTTTCTCATCCCTTCTCCTGAAGCAGGGCCTTGTGCTTTGCTTCCTACTCTCCAGCCTTATACACTGGAACGGCCTCCAGAAAGCCCCTCTGCTGCCCCTGCCAGGGCTCTTTCTCTTTATGGGGCTCCTCCAAGGTACAAATGGAGTCTTTTAACCTCACAGTCTAGACAGCTTTCCTAGTGAGACTCACAGGGGAACTGATGGGCCTTCCTACTCTGCATGGAATCCTGCTTTTTTTATTCTCACCCCACCTGGGGGGTTCACCTGCTTGGGAGGTATACCTGAGCTACTGTAAGAGTGTGCTGTGTCCTGGGGCTCTCAAGTCAGGTTGTGTCTCTTTCCCATCATCTGTGGTTGCCTGTCCACTGCCTTCCCTATGGTCATTTGGAACACAGTGTTCTCATTGTGACCACTAAACTCTGAAGTCTTCAGACACCAACCTGGTCCGTGCAAGAAGGCACTGTCCCCTTTTGGGCCAGGGTTCTCACAGGGGTTTGTCACCTGGGCCCATTCACTTTCCTTGCTTATTTGAAAGTGTCCGCTAAGTGAAATGCGTGGACCAGAACACCCCTCAGCTGAGTGTTCTCTTCCTTTGCACCTGAGTGCTTCTGCTAACAATGATGACGTTGACATCATTTTATCCAAACAGAGAAGAAATAGAGAAGCAGAAAGCAAAAGAGCGCTACATGAAGATGCATTTGGCTGGGAAGACAGAGCAGGCCAAAGCTGATCTCGCCCGGCTGGCAATCATCCGGAAACAGAGGGAGGAAGCAGCAAGAAAGAAGGAAGAAGAGAGGAAAGGTAGGTCTGAGCCTGTCAGCCCCAGCAGCAGTTACCTGACTGGTTTTGGACAGGACCCTGAACTGCCTGTGAGGTTGGAGAGCCTGAGGAGTAACAGCTGCCTGTTCACCCGTGTCAGCCAGTAAAGCTTTGCAGTCTCTGGAGAAGTGCTCCTGTTCACCATCATGGAGTCAGATGAGGGTTGGAATCAACAGAGCACTGTTTAGCGGTCACTGACTGACTCCGGCAACAAGAAGCCTCAGCACCAGCAAATCTTTTGAGTCTTGTAAAACCAGAAGTTGCTGTGCCTAGAGTTGCCACTCAACCCAGGTGCTTGATAAGGTGGAGCTATCTGTAAGAGAAACTCAGACTAGGCATCAGCCTGTGTGCCACTTCTCACCCTCCTTCCCTCTAGGCATCTAAAGGTTATCCAGGCTCTCACAGGCCTGGATATGTCTGGTGTGGAGGAGTGTTTTACCTTGGACCCATCCATTAGAAAGGGGGCATGGGTGGTTATGAGAGAGAGCCCTTAGCCCACTTTCCTGCTTATTTACCTAATTATGAGGAAACTGAGGCCTAGAACTGAGAACTCACAGGGCGTCCGTGTCACCCTCTCTGAGCTTATGTATCCTGACTCATTTACCTTCCCAAGCCAGAAAGGATGTTTGATGTGCAGCTAGGTGGTGTTGCTGACTTGAGATGTTAAGACTTCAGAATACGCCGGGCAGTGGTGGCACACGCCTTTAGTCCCAGCACTTGGGAGGCAGAGACAGGCGGATTTCTGAGTTTGAGGCCAGCCTGGTCTATAGAGTGAGTTCCAGGACAGCCAGGGCTACACAGAGAAACCTTGTCTCGAAAAAACAAACAAACAAAAAAGACTTCAGAATACACAGAGAGAGGTTGGAATTGCAGGGTTCTGCTAGGGTTGTCAAAAGTTCTCAGTAGCCACCAGACTGTTTGTGGGTGGACCTGAATGGACAGCCATTCAAGCACAGCAGGAACATCTGGTTGCCTGGGCCCTGTGGCCTGAGCAGAAATTCTCTGCCCTGGATAGCAGCCTGAATCAGTCTTGACTCTCTCTCTTAGTGCAGTCTGTTTGCACAAAATGTGTTTTGAGGCCTCAGTCCTGAAGTCCTGTGATTCAGAGGGATGTGGGAGGTATTTTTGCTATGTTCTAACCCCCACCTTTCCCTTCCAATCCCTCAGCAAAAGATGACGCAACTTTGTCAGGAAAACGAATGCAGTCGCTCTCCCTGAATAAGTAAGATGGCCTGTGGGAGGAGATGCCGGGGAACTGGGCCGTGCCGCCAGGACCTCTGCCATGTCTCACCCACCCTGTGCCCTGGCGCCACTGCAGCAGCCCCTATGGCCAGGAGCCCCTACGGCCTGGGGCCTCCTCTTCATCTTGGCACAGGAATTGTTCAGGGGATGTGGGGGGTTGGGGGGAGGGGCAGCTGCTATCTTTGAGTCAGAAAGATGCAGGACAGCATTTCATACGTAACCATTTGAATGTTTTTGCTGTTTTTAGAATTTGGAACCCTGGTTGGGGGAGGGGGGATGCCTGGGAAGTGGGGTAAGGAGATTCCGTTTGTCCAGTAGATTGCACGTTAGCGGGGAGGGTAGTGCCAGCAGTCAGCTGCTGTGGGAGTTGATGACAACCTGCCCAGATTGTCTGGGTGCTCACTCAGAGGGGCTGTCCAGGACCCTGTGCCACGAAAGGTCCAAGGTTTGTGCCTGGCCAGTTCCGTCCGACGAGGCCTCTCCTCTCTGCTCCGTCCCCTTCCCACCCACCTGGTCGGGGCTAGTGCCCATTTTTAACCCTACCCATTGATCATTTCAAGAAACCTCTGGTTACTGTGCATCGCCCAGACAAGACATGCTCCTCAAATTCAACTTGTATATTTGGCAAATTAAACAACATTATCATAAATCCGTGTTTGACAGTTTATCTGCCCACTGTCCCTATTTTTGCTGATGGCAGGTACCAGCAGGGTTCAGGGCACACACCTACCTGGGGAAACACTGTCAGGCTTTTGCAAAAAGTAAGGTACAGGGCCTAGATGCCAGTGACATAATAGAGACCTAGGATGTTTCTGAGGGTCAGCCCTGAACCTATAGCAGACTGGAGTGGTGTTGAGTTGCCCCCGTGGGCCTCCAGGGTCCTGCCTGCTGGTTATATCCTGATCTTCTGCTGGAGGAAGGTTCCCAAAGGCTCCCAGGGCTCACTACAGCCTGAGCTGCCACCTCGGTCCTTAGCGTTGTAGCAGTTAGGGAGCAGGCCTAGTGCTAGCCACTGAGTTACTTGTACATTCAGGCCCAATGAAAGGCTCCTGTCCTGGCCCCATCTGAGTGGGATTCCGCACCTGAATGACATTGTCCTTTGTGCTTCAGATGGGGGTGAGGGGACTTGAGGGTCTGGAGATGTCGGGGTCAAATATAGGTATGGCTGCCAGAGACTCAAGCATGACTTAAATAGAGATAACATTTGAGTCCATTTTCTAGTGACTGCTACCACATGCCTTTGGGCCTGACCCTAATTGATGGCTTCAGGAGAGACCCTGCAACTACCCAGATTCAAGGTTGGCTCTAAAATGAGGAAGGTGATAGCTTTTAGTAATGCCCTGTTGCCCTAGGACAGACTAGTAAAAGGTGGTTGTGAGATATGGTGAGTGGGGGTGACTTGGCAGGATTCCTACCTGAAGTTCTTAACACCAAACTAAAGTGTATTGCTTGGGTTGGAGGTGTAGGGGTGTGTGTGTGTGTGTGTGTGTGTGTGTGTGTGTGTGTGTGTGTGTAAGGAGACCATGGATGGGATGACCTTAGGCATAGGGCCTGTCTCACACTCCGGGGCCAGGGCTGCGGTAAAGAGTAATGGGAGCTTCGTGTGGCTTGATGCTTCTGGTTGGGTGACTTGCCTTACGGAAGGATGGTTCTCACCTAGGAAATCTTTGAGGTAATTGTCAAATAATTGTCAGTTACGATGCTGTGTAAAGGCTAACCCAAAGACAAAAGGCCTTAGACTAAAACAGAAATAGGGGATTGTATAGAAACCAATGATCATTTACCAAAAACCCAGTGCCTACATCGTAGTGGAGAAATAAGAGATTGATAACACTAAGGTCCAGAGCAAGGTGGACCCCATTTGTATCAGAATCACACCACTTAACAAGTGGCTTGAAACAGACGGTTCAAGGCTGGTCCTGACAGCTGAAGCCCAGGCGGGAGAGAGGGTCCCTGGACTTGTCAGTCTTGTTTCCAGTGGGCCCATACATCAGATTCCTTACGTCAGACACAGGCAGGCCTGTCCACATTTGGGATGTTTATTAGCCCACATCTTCAAGCTGTTCATGACCAGCATTGTGCTTTGGGGTTTTTGTCTTGTTTTTGGTTTGCAATAAATGAAAGCATTTCTTTAAAAGGCACATTTTTGTTAAATAGGCAGGAAAATTCGCCACCTGCCTCTTCCCCTCCTTGGAGAGAGAGCAGCCCCTTTGTAGACCTGTACTGTACCCTAGAAGCATTCAGCAAAGCAGCCCTTAGCCTCCCCAACCCCTCTCCCTCCTCCCCAGCAGTTGAGATGAGGGCAGCATTTCTCACAGCTCATTTGATCTTCAGGTCCTTCAAGGCTGACTCCAAGCTCTGCAAGGAGAGAATGGATAGGCTGCTTCTCTTCCAGCCTGCAGATACCTCACACCCATCTCAGCCCCAGCACAAAAGGGGCCAAGTTGGAATCCCAACAGAAAGACAGGCAGGCCCAGCGCAGCTCACCTTCACATCCCAGATGCTCATGCCGCCATCCATGCCTGTAGTGCAGAACTGTGAGCACTTGGCCTTGCCCCCGCTCAGCACCGAGATTTGACTGTAAGAAGGTTGGGTTTAGGGGCCAAGCAAGCTTGCTGGCTACGAGGTCCCAGACCCACTCCCTTGAGAAATAATATCAAGATGAGGTAAGACTAGCCAGGAAACAAGGCTTGGAGGAATAGTGTCAGTCCTAGCTATGGACCAGGACACTTGAGGCCTAGACCTGACCGCACAGGGAATAGAGAATGCCACTAATGTGCTGACTTGTGGGTAGGGGGACACTGTGCCTGATACTGAACAACCCTGCAGGCTGGGCTTAGTCTAGACATTGGGTCAAATAACCTCATAAGGCTTAGCTAGCCAAAGTACAGCAGAGTACATGCAGAGTAAGCTAGGGGTGGACCCCTGTGGCTGATAGCTTTGGGGTTTTGGAGGCTTTTTCCAGAAAGGTTTGGATTCCTTCAACTGGAAAGGAATCTAGCAAGATACCTACCCCCCAAGAAGCCCACCAGTCACTCTCCTGCATCCTAGAGGCTCTGATGTGCCTAGGTAAGCCCTAGCCAGCCAGATATGTAGAGCCAGGATGACTGCTCTGTTGGAGTACAGCCTGGAAGTCTGCCTGCTTCCTTCTGTAGTCCTGACTTCCGTCATGCCCATCCTCCCCATCCCCATCCAGCACCATGCTGTGTGGTCACCTCCCTCTGGCTCCCACCCAGCCCTCTGAAGCTCTGAAGTGGTTCTTGGGTCTTTGTGGAAGCACCTGACGCTGTTCTTGTGCAGAGAGTCCAGGCCGGCCCCTGTGGCTGCACCCCCCTCCGAGCTGGCCTTCTTGTCGAGGTTCTGGAAGCGCTCTCGGGCTGTCATGCCACGCTGGGAGCTCTGCTTGGGCACATCCAGCCGGCCACCAAAGCTCAATGTCCCCGAAGCATTGTCATAGGTAAACAGCACCGGGAAGCAGTCATGGCCCTAGGGAAGGAATGAGAGCCACTGAAGATCATTTGAGGTGGGGACCTCAACCCTAGATGAATCAAGTAGGGGCAGATAGGAAGGTTGTCCTCCCTGAACTCCAGCAAGGCCTGCACCTACTTTATGGATGTCTGAGACTCTTTCCTAGGATAGACTTCTACCTCAGCCGAGTGATCCTCCAGGCAGAAAAGAAGCTCTCCATATTAACAGAATAGTAGACAGAAGGAACAGTAGCTTTGGAGACACTTGGTGATGCTGAGTCCATTCCCAGGGGCCTGCCTCTAAAACTTATTTTTTTTAATTTGGTGTGTGTGCGCGTGTGCGTGTGCGAGCACATGTGTGTGAATGCATGCACGCAGGTGCCGTGGGTGCACATAGAGGTCAGAGAGTAGCCTATGAGAGTTCTCTCCTAAGACTTCGTGGGATCTAAAAACTGAACTCAAGTCATCAGGATTGGCAGTGCCTTTCCCCTCTGAGCGGTTTTATAGACCACAGGCCTGCCCTTTCAGTTAGATGCAACCTTGTCATTTGTACTAGTCAACCTGAGCAGAAATGTTAGGGCACAATTTTAGAAGGTCTCTTGTACACTCCAGACAACTGGGGAAGCACTGGAAACAAAGCTTCTATCAAAGCCCCCTTCCCCATGACCCCCACACTGGACAGATGTGCCAGCAAGAACATCTGCAGTCCCAGTTACTTAGGTGGCTGAGGCAGGAGGACTGTGGGTTGGAGGTTTGTAGAAGAACGTTTTAGCTGGCATAATCTGGAGTGATGGCACCTCAGGTCTGAAGTAGCCTTTGTCAGTGATTGTTATCTGAAATGTTATGATGTTCTTTTGAAGGATTCTCAGAGCCTTTGCAGAAACTTAATATTCCAGGCATGCCTGACAGACCAGGCAGTCTCCTATGGCTGAGAACCGCTTAGGTGATGGGTCGTTCAAGACAGCCCCTAGATCAGACAAGAGATTTTGGTGCATGGAATTGACTTGCTAAGGTGCCTTTTATGTTACAATAAAAAGAGCGTCTAGGAAGCTGTCAGAGCTCAGTACTTGAGGAACAGATCCCCCGGCTGCTGAGAAGCCGGATTCATCCAGCAGAGGCTCTTTTCTTTGATCATGTAACCCAGAACAGACAGAGGTTGGCCTACATTTACAAAGTAAGTTAAAGGCCAGCACGGAGAGCTTAAAGGGGAAAGAGAAGACTAGCCTAGGCTGTATAGACTTAAAAATGCCTTAGTTTGTACATTTAAAACATAGGAATTTTGTTACCACCGAGTAACCCAAACTATTGTGCATGTTGTATGGATGAAGGAAGGAAACCAGGAGAGGGAGGAAGACTGCGTGAAGAGACTACTTACCGGCCCTGCCTTTGCCTCCCCAAATGCCACTTACCGCTGCCACTAGACTATTTTCTGTGATGAAGGTGATGGCCAGAAGTGGTAAGGTCTCAGAGGCCAGGGTTGCCACGCTGAAAGAGAGACTGGGTCAGCTACCCACCACCCCCACCCCCACCCCATCCTGCTCTGGGCTTCAGTTGCAGTCACTCTCCCCATATCTCTGACCCTATACTCACGCCATCTTCTTGTCAGCATCTGCCAGGCACACAGTGCTGTCATGGCTGACCCAAGCGACTCGGCTCCCACTGGCCGAGAAGGAGACGCCATGCACCCAGCCACAGCTGCTGCTCGATTCAAACATCAGCTCCCCAAAGGGCATCTTGGAGCCCCACGGTGTAGGGGCTGGCCGTTCCTCCACCTCCTTGATATAGGCAGAGAAGATCCTGGAGGGGAAAGTGAAAGGAGGGGGATTGGGAGGAGCCTGGGAGAGAGTCTGCCCCCAAGCCAGACAAGTGCACTGAGCCTGTGGAACCTAGACCTGATCCTGAGGGACTGGCATATTCAGGCTTGATGGAGTCTGAGCCTCTGCTGTCTGTTACTAAGATGGGGTGGAATGGGAAGCCTCCTAGCTCAGCTTCTTGTGACCTGGCACCCTTGGGTTCCTGACCTGAAAGCTGACCATCCAACTAGTATGGTTACAGAGGGTGTCTCAGTCCCTGTAAGCTAGATATTTACAACCAGTCCCCAGAACAACAACTGTGTTCCAATTCTGTCCCCTCCTCTTGGTCCACACAATGCCCATCTATAATGGAGGGTCATAGATGGTAGCCTGGGCTACATAGCAAGATACTATCTCAAGAAAATGAAAGCTGCGGGTGTGTGCCAACCTAAAGCCTTGTGAGATGATACAGTCTCTGGGCCCAGGATCAGGAAAAGGGTCTCTGGTGCCTACAGTTTCCCAAGTGAGAATTCAGAGACTTGAAGAAGAGGCCTAGTCTGCCTGGAGCTGGGAGGAATGTGGATTCACTGGCCAAGAGTCAGGTCGTAGGTCCAGAAGTGAAAAATAACAAAGCAAGTTTTGTTGAGGTTATCAGTCACTCATCCGCTAGTGGGAATACGTGTGCACCATTGTCCTTCAATAGAAATCAGGACAGCTGGAGTGGAGGAGGCAGGGGAGGAGACCTGGGGGAGACTTTGCTGACATTAGAGAGATGGCAAGGACTCTGTCCACCCCGAGGTGCTGGCAGACCATTATGGTGGCCATTTGAAACTGATGTCTCAGGGACCCCAGATCACCTTGCTGGACATCAGGAGCAAGCCCTGCTGTTTGCCAGATAGGGGTCTCCCTTCCAGGTAGACGCCTGCTCACCTACACTTGAAGTCACAGGAGCCTGCAGCCAGGAGCACGTTGTTAGGATGCCAGTCCAGGCTGAGAACAGTGGAGCGGATGGGCTTTTTGATGTGTTTGCACACCCACCTAGACACATGGGTAAGAAAGGCAGGCAGGTTGGTATCGTGGATTGCAGCATCCCTGGGATGGTAGGGTCAACAAGTGCCTCAGGTATGAGACACAGAGCGCCTACTTCAGAGAGTGATATACTGGGTTCCTTCTGAGGTCAGAACTCTATGCCTTGCCACTACCAACCACATACGATTATGTGATTCTGAATGGTTGAGGTGGAATATAAATTCTATTTTCCCAGACTCAAAACTGTCCCTGTCCTCCAACACAGGGGAGATTAAGACACAGGTGGGGGCCGGGCGGTGGTGGTGCACGCCTTTAATCCCAGCACTCGGGAGGCAGAGGCAGGCGGATTTCTGAGTTCGAGGCCAGCCTGGTCTACAGAGTGAGTTCCAGGACAGCCAGGGCTACACAGAGAAACCCTGTCTCGAAAAACCAAAAAAAAAAAAAAAAATAAAAAAAAAAAGACACAGGTGGGACAGGCATCTGGCACACAATAATAGAGAATCAAATTCAAGGGTAGCCATGGCTACATAGCAAGACCCTGTCTCCAAAACACAAACAAGCAAAAAGCTTAGGGTTGGGAATGTGGTTGAGTGGCAGGTTCCTACCTAGCATGCATGAAGCCTTCGGCTCCATCCTAGCCCTGCACAGACCAGGCATGGTGGTGCCCACCTGGCACCCCAGTACTAGGGAGGCAGAGGCAAGAGGACCCAAGTTCAAGGTCATCCTGGCTATATGCTGAGCTTGAGGTCCTAGCCTGTATTCAGACCCCATCTCTCTCTCTCTCTCTCTTTTTTTTTTTTTTTTTTTTTTTTAATGTGGCCGGGTGTACATGAGTGGTCCCTGAAGTCTGACACCTACTGACACTTAGGTGACAGGCCCGGTTCACAGTCCTTCCAGGAAGCTCGTGGCAGTGTGTGCATGAAGCTTGGCATAGTATCCCCAGAAGTAACAGTAGTGTGGTCTATGTCCTGTTTATTACCAAGTCAGAGCTGTTGAGTCACAGTAGAGAGGACCCTCTGCCTCACCAGTGAGGACAGGTATACAGGGACATTCTGATCTTGCATCATGTAAGTCTGTAGTTCGGGGCTCCATCAGTACCCCAACCCAGGTTCTTCCACCCCCAGCCTTCTCTGGCCCCAACCAAACACCCACCAGTCATTCTCCTGCTCAAAATAACAGATGGAAATGACACGGGAGCCGCTGCCCACAGCAAACTTGTTCTCATTGGGGGCCCAGCGCACACAGCGGGCAGCCCGATTGATCCGGAGGATGACCAGAGTGGGCTTCCACGTGCGGCCCTTCAGTGTCCACACGTAGGCATTTCGGTCTGTGCCGCAGGTCACAATGCGGTTGCTCTCAGGGGCCCAGTCGATGCCTGCAGGATCAGGTCAGAGGACATAAGACAAAGGCACCCAGGCTACAGTGGCCACGTCCAGATCTTTAACTCTGGTGCCCAGGGTCTTGTTCACGCTAACCAAGTGCTCTGCCACTGAGCCGTGGCTCCAGCTCCTCAGTGGAAAATTTTAGGCAGGTGTTCTACTGTTGAACCATGGCCCCTGCCCCTGACTGGGGGATTCTATGCAAATGCTCTGTACTGCTAAGCCACATCCCCACCCGCTCACTGGCTTCCCCCACCCCTCACACTCTAGGTGAGACTAATAAAGCTTACTGGGAAGAGGGGGAAGCTGGCAATCCTCACTAGCTGACACCATTCTGGAGATAAAGCCAAGAAACAGCTAAGGACCGTGCCCCCTGATGCTGAGCTGTCCACCCAGCCTCTCTGAACATCTAAGATCTGTACACCAACATAATTTCTCTACCACCTTTTAAAACTTATTTATTTACTTAATGTCTTATGTGTGCCGCGGCTAGTTTGTGGAGGTCAGAGGACAACTTGTAGGAACCGGTATTCTCTGACCGCGTGGGTCCTGAGGATAGAACTCAGATCTTCAGGTTTGGCAGTAAGCCCCCTCCATCCACTGAGGCCATCTCTGTGGTCCCTAAGTCAGTGGGAATCAGGGTTGTTTTCATTGCAACCCAGACTATTCCAAGTAATACTGTGATGAGTAGCTGGCCATGCTGTCATGTGCCCCGCCCCCTCGCCTCCTCCCAGGAGAGTGCCGACCCACCTGTCACCTGCCCGTTGTGCTCCTTGAGCTCATGCACCTTGTTCCACTTGGCGCCGCTCTTCTCATAGATGTGCACCTCATGGTTGTTGGGGCAGATGGCAATCTCTGTGGGGAGACAGACGTGAGCTTAAGGAGGCGGCAGCATGGACAACCACCATCCCTGCCTCTGCTCTCCACTAGAGTGCTCTTCAACAGCCAGGCTGGCCTCTGCCTGAAACTCCTGATATCCTGCCGGGCCACTCCTGTACCTAGCACCCAGATTCCCCCACAGCAGTCTCGGGACCCTGGAGCCTCCCTTCATGCCACAGCTCTGTGTTAGCAGAAGTCCCATTACTGCCGTTTCCATGACATTCCTCTCGGCCCCGGGGCCCTCCTACCTACCATGCCCTTAAAGTTTCACATTTATTTTGTGTGTGAGTGCGCGTGCACATGCACGCGCCATGGCACAGCAATGAGGGCACCTTGCAGTCGTGAGTTCTTTCGTTCTGTCAATCAAACTCGTCAAGAGTGCTTGACAAGCTGAGCCATCTTATTGGCCCATTTTGTCGTTTTTGGAAATAGGTCTCACTGTGTAGCTCAGGCTGGCCTAAAACTTATAAGCCCTCTGCCTCAGTCTCCTGAATTCTGGGATGATAGATGTGTACCACCACCCACCAGAGCAGATCCAGGAAGCCCAGGCTGTTAAACAGATCCACCCAACATGTCAACACCTCCCTTACTACCAGGCTACCTCTGCCTGCCCTTCAGTTCTAGGCTCCTCTCCCAGGAGCAACCACGTGCTTTAAGCAGAGACCCAAGATGTGGAATCTGGCTGCTCTCCACCCCTCGAAGCTGTCCCACTGCCCCGTCACTCCATTGGACCCGTCTGGTCCCAAGCAATCCTGGTTTGGAGGCTACTCTGCAGAAGTGAGCACTCACGCGTACGGTCCTTGTTCCAGGCGTGGCAGCTGATGGGTTCCACCAGGAAGCTGTGGTACGCCATAGTCACTGTCTCCCGGACCTAGGGAGAGAGGCAGAGGGCAGGTCACCTGTGCTCTGCTCACCCTAGTTTCCTGACTGGCCAAGTATGTTACAACCTCTTGAGTCCCAGTGTCCCTCATCCCAAGAGAGCAGGTGTCACAAGATATCCCAAGCTGTAGGAAACAACAGGCAAGTGGAACAGAGCTTGGGACCCGAGGCAATGACACTGTGTGAGTGGGGGCTAGGACCCTGAGCCACACAGGCCTGCTACTCTTCACCTGTGCCTCAGTTTCTTCATAGTATGGGATACCCCCTCACACACACACACACACACAGTCCCATATAAGAGCAATATAAAAATTAATATCCCTAATCCACTTAAAGCAGAGCCTAGCTCACAATTCAGTTGGGCCAGTCAGTGCCCACTCCTCCCTTCCCAGGCCCTGTGGGTTGAACAAAGGAGATAAGACAGCTGGCGTTCCAGGACCAGGCTCAGAGCTGGACTCCCAAAGCTTCCTCCCCCACCCACTCAGGTTCTGAGGTCTCTGGGACCAAGGAGGGACACCCTGCCTTCAGACTTCCCAACAGCTCCGCAGGGCTAAGGAGCTGCCTCTGGGCCCTTGGTTGGCTTGAAGCACGCAGTCCCCTCCCCCAGGGCATTCACCAGGCTTCTCCCACATCCCGCCAGATGTGCTTCCTAGCCACTCCTACCCACAGTTCATGCCTGGGAGCTCTTCTCTGTCATTCTCTCCAGTCTTACCCCACTACATCACCCATCCAAAAATACCCAGTCACCTCCCCCAAATCCCTGCTCTGCCCAACCCCTTCCCCCACCTCTCCAGAGTCAGGATGCTTCGAGAATATGGTGAGACATCATGGCACTGTCTGCCAGCTGTGTGCGCCACAGCATCACCTGTTGTCTCTGAACCTCACTTCCCATCTGAACAATGGAGCCCACCTCTGCCCTGCCCCTACCCCACCTCCAGCTGAGGGGAGAGTAGAGTAGGGTGGTATACCTAGGCTGGGCTTGACAGCACATGCTTGTAATGCCAGCAGTGGAACAGTAAAAATTTGAGGCCATCCTGGGCTACCCAGACCTTGTCTCAAAAAAACAACCAGGGCTGGGGATGTGTAGTTCAGTTGGCAGAGTGTTTACCTTCCTCACCACCACATAAACCAGGTGTGTTGACACAAGCTTAAGAGACGGAGGCAGGAGAATAATCATAAGTTCAAAGTCATCTTCAGCACATAGTGAATTCCATCCAAGCCAGTCTGAACTACACAAAATGCTGTCTTATAAAATGACAACACTGCATAGCCGGTGATCAGGAAGTGGTCTACCAGGCTAGACGGATGTATTCAGTGGGTAAAGGCCGACAAACCTGACAGCCTGAGTTCAATCCCTAGGACCCACATGATGGAAGGAGAGGCCCGACTTCCTCAGGTGGCTGAGTAACCTCCAGATGCATGTGTGCCACCAACGTGAACACACATACAAGTAAATAGAAAAACAGTTTATGAAAGAGTAACATAGAAGAAGCCAGTCGACAAACCATGCTTTCGGCCCACAAAATGCATGATGCCCATACCTTTATTCATCAAGTCATGCTTTCCGTGGCCTCACAAGCACACTCCTGCCTCAGGCCTATGCTCAGGAAGTTCCCTCAGCTTATAATCCTCTTCACACACACACCCTGCTCTGGCCCACACCCTTGGCCATTTTCAATCTGGGCTCATTTGCATCAAGAACCTTCCACAGTGCACTCCCCAATAAGCCCTGCCCCGGGCCTGTCCAGATCCTGCTTAAAGGTGAAAACCTTGATTCCAGGTACAACAGGGACATTCTAGAAAGTTCTTGATATGGCATAGGACACCTGTGCCAATAGAAACCAGGACTATCTGTGTCATCACAACTGTCTGTAACTCATGCTGAGGGACCTAGTGCCCTCTCCTGGCCTCTGCAGGCACTACAGTCACATGTGCATACCCACAGAGACACACAATTAAAAATACTTTTTTTTTTTTAAAGTAGAAGAAACTCCAGTTTGGATCATAGCACTGTCATTGGTGGCTTTATAACTCTTATATGGTTCCCCTTACTACAAAAAGCTTTGCAAAGGCATGCCTTTAATCCCAGCACTCAGGAGGCAGAGGCAGGAGGATCTCTGAATTCCAAGCCAGCCTGGTCTACGGAGTGAGTTCCAGGACAGCCAGGGCTACCCAGAGAAATGCTGTCTCGAAGGACAGAAAGATCAACAGAGGAAGCTTGAAATCAGCCTAATCCATAAAGCAGGCCAGCAGAGCACGGCTAAGCCAGAAGCCACTCCAAAGCCCAGCTGAGCGCTGCTTGGTCCCTGAACTCCAGTAGAAGTAGATGCCCATCTTCCTGGTGGCAGTTAGAAGTCCAGGGCTGTAGCCTGGGGGCAGAACCTGTCTTCTCAGTGCGTGATACTCTGCTGCCCCCTACAGCAGGTTCCATGTGTCTTAGTGGATAACTTAAGACAACTGGAGGAGCCCTGACCCCAGTTTCCTGGAACCTAAAGGTTGTATATGGAAGCAGTAAACAGCTGCTAACTGAGGCGTAAGGTGACTGAGGAAAAGGTTCACACACATCTGCCAGCCAATCACACTTTAGCAGGAGTGCTGACAGCACAGGGGAGGCAGAGAGGGGAAGACTCATCTTCTCATTATGTCTGAAAAGCAACCCAACTAACTAGCAGTGTACCTGATGGCCCAAAGAGGAGAGAGGGGCAGAGAGTGTGACCCACTGCCTGTCAGCCACCTTGATGTAAAAAGTACACCATAGGTGCATGGAATGGCACACACCTTTAAAGCTCAGTACTCATACCAGAGGCAGGTGGACCTCGGTGAGTACAAGGCTAGCCTGGTCTACACAGTGAGATCCCCCTTCTCTCTCTCTCTCTCTCTCTCTCTCTCCCTCTCTCCCTCTCCCTTTCTCCCTCCCTCCCTCCCTCTCTCTCTCACACACACACAGAGGGAGAGAGAGAAAGACAGACAGACAGACAGACAGACAGAAGTGATGCAAACCTGTAATCCTGGCACACAGGAAGCTGAGGAGGACTTCTACTTCTTTTGATACTGCTGGGATCTGATCCAGGGCCTGTACACTCTATTGCTGAACTACACCCTAAGACTTCTCTCTCATCCATCTGTCAGAGAGGTGGCCCAGGGAGCCTTCAAGACTGCTCCTGTTCTATTATTATTGCCTGAGAAGCAGGGGTCCTGGGGGAGTCCAAACCAAACTTCCTGACTGGCTCTAGCCATCTCCTGCCAGCACAGGGGTGGGTGCTGCTCTCCCAGGTGCATGGCCCACACAGGGTTACTTAGGCGGGGCAAAGGAGGAAGCATGAACCGGGCAGTCATGCTGAAGAAGGGCCTGCCTCCCTTGGACCTCCTAGAAGGGGGGCTGAATGGTACTTTGGGTCTTCAAAGTGACTTGGGGTTTCTATCCTGAGAATGCCTAAAAACATAAAAGACTAGGGTCTTTGGCATGATCCTAATTTTTTTTTTAGACAGGAATTCTTTTTTATTTTATAAGATTTATTTTATATATGAGTACTCTATCTGAATATATACTCACATGCCAGAAGAGGGCACTAGATCCCATTACAGATGGCTGTGAGCCACCATGTGGTTGCTGGGAGTTGAACTCAAGACCTCTGGAAAAGTCGCCAGTGGCCTACCACTCTACCTGTGCCTCAGTTTCTACTGAGCCATCTGACAGCCCCATAGATATGAACTCTTAGACTGTGCCTGGTAGCACATACCAGTAATCCCTTGAACTCTAGAGCCGGGAGGAGCATGAATTTGAGGCTAGCTTCAGGTACAAAACAAACAGAGGGGTCTTTGTTTTGTTTGTTTTCTTTCACACTGTTGGGGATAGAATCCAAAGCCTTGTACATTCTAGGCAGATGCTCTATCTCTGAGCCACACCCCAGCCCCTCACTGGGGGATTCTAGGCAGGGGCTCTACCACTGAGCCACACCCCAACCCCTCACTGGGGGATTCTAGGCAGGGGCTCTACCACTGAGCCACACCCCAGCCCCTCACTGGGGGATTCTAGGCAGGGGGCTCTACCACTGAGCCACACCCCAGCCCCTCACTGGGGGATTCTAGGCAGGGCTCTACCACTGGGCCACGCCCCCAGCCCTCCAGGAATACTTCCTGACCACTGCTGAATGTACTTCCGCTGTCCGGCTATCTGTATCAAAGATGAGTCGAGGAACATGCCTGATTGCATTACAGTAATGCATCATCAACTGGGAGAGGCCCTCTGTGTTCCTAATGAACAAATGGTCAGAAAAACCAGAAGCTTCTACCTCAGGACACCATGGCTGGAAGGACCTATGCAGCTCCCCTCCTAAGCCAGCCAGGTAGAGCCTTCAGGCGCCTCTGCTGCTAAGAACACTGTTCCAGTTCTTGGGTCTCAGAGTTCCTTCTAAGAGTGCTGGGTTAAAACTGTCCAACAGGGTGCGCTGTTGCACATCGGAGACGGGAGGCTGAGGCTGGAGGATCATGAGTTTGAAGCCAGCTTGGGCTTCATAGGGAGAACCTGTGATTGATAGATGATAGATAGATAGATAGATAGATAGATAGATAGATAGATAGATAGATAGATAGATAGATAGATAGGCTGTTAAGATGGCTCACCAGGTAAAATTGCTTGCAGCTAGCCTAGCTGATGACCTCAATTTGATCCCCACAAAGTGGAACGAGAGAAACAATTAACTTGTAACTTGTCCTCTACCCTACACCCCCCCACACACTTATTTATAAGTGTAGTTATAAATAAATAATACTCTAGCACTCCATCCTGGCTGGGCATCCTCCGCCCTGGCCCCTTGGCTTTTCTTGGCTGTGTTTCCTTGAATCACACACACAGTTTGGCTAGATTTGAGACTTAAGCCAAGCAGGAGTTGCCTGTAGCAAGAACCTTGGCTCCAGAGGCAATCCAGGAAGTCCCCGCCCAGCTCAGCTGAGTGCAGCCAGCAGTAGCTTTTTCTTTTCTTTTTTATGGTGCTAAGCCTTACTCAACTTCCTGCTGTGGGTAGGAGTCTGTGTGGTGTGAGCAGCCCTCCAAAACCCCAGTTCTTCCTCCTCCTCTTCTTCTTCCTCCTCTAGACTGCCCTTGAAGACTGAATGAGAGAAAGTCAAATCCAGCAACACAGATTAAATTCTAAAATACTATAAATTTCCAGTTTAAAGAATCAAAACAAAACTTCTCCAAAACAGAATGTTCTCAATAACACTCGGTGCTGGCAGGGCTGTGGGGAGAGCCTCACCTGTTCTGTGCCTTCGAAGGAGCGTGTGCTAACTTCTAATTCCAACAGCTTGTGTAAGAACAGAAAGAACGTGGGGCTGGAGAGAAGGCTCTTTGCAGAGAACCTTCTTAGCTCACAACCACCAAATAAATACTCTAGTTCCAGGGGATATCATTTTCCAACACCCCGGGGCTCAAGTGTGTGTGTGTGTTTGGTGTGTGTGCAACCCCATAAAAATAAATCTTTAAAAAGAGAGAATAACACTGATGAACTCAGTAACTTGAAAAAGCAAACTTTTAAAGCCCTCTTTCTTAGGGTTGCCTTACTACAGAAAACCCTTTTCTGGAGGGTGTGGATCATTGGTAGAGAGGACTTGCCTAATAAGTTCGAGGCCCTGGGACCAAGACAGAACAACATACTTTAATTCTAGTTGAGGTTATTTGTTATTTTAAAAGATCCCAAAGTATGCTCACCTTTAATCACTAGGGAAGCAGAGCTCTAAAGAGTTCGAGGCTAGCCTTGGTGGGGTGGGGGAAGGGAGAGGGAGAAGGAGAAGGAGGAGAGACTATCTAAAAAACAATCCAGAGCAAAAAAGAATCACTGGAAGTTTTCATTCACACAGAACTTTGCCTTACACTCTTCAGTGTGTATAAGTGCCCGTGGATGTCCGGGGATTTGAACTCAGACCCTCACGCTCCCCCATCAGTGCTTTTATGCACGCTCCATTTCCCTGCCCCGCACATTCTCTTACAGTGGAAGCCAACCTGGTAAATCTATTTCCTTTTTATTGTCCACGTTTAGAAGTTGAACTTCCCTCCAAGTCGCTCTCAGGGCAGCAGCTTCGGACCCCACCCCACCCTACCACCACACAAGGCCAGGTTCATCCTAGTGCAGAAATGAGGTCGGCAGCAGTAGGCGGGCAGACACACTGCCAAGTGTGTTGGCCACATCTGGCCGCTAAGCCTCCGGAACTGGAAGGTCCCCATTTTCCAGGCAAGGCAAGTTGAGTTCTACACAGGCGAGGTGGCTCGCCTGCGTCACCAGCCACACCGCCCCGGGCTGGAGCTGCCTCGCGGGAACAAGCTCCATGGCCAGCACCTGGGCTGACTCCCAGTTCAGGATTCCTGCCCGCTCGCGGGCCCCACCGGACCTGACCTGTCGGGGTGGCCTGGCTGGGTGCTCCTCGAGCCGCCGGGGTCCGCTCGCCCAGACCGGGTGAGACCCAGGAACCTGGACCCCCGCTGGGTGGGCATGGTCACTGGGGGGGATGAGGCGGGGCAGGGGTGCTAGCTCATTTCCCGGTCGCAGCAACCCGGAAGGCTGCGGACCGAGGGGGAAGTGACTGGGCGTGGGGCCCTGCGCCCAAAGTAACGGGGCGACACAGGGCGCAGGGATCGGAAAGCGGGGCCAGGAAAGCGGAGAGGGGGCGCGAGGGCTGGGACTGTGCCGCCTCGATGGCGTCGAGTGCGCAGGGAAGCTCCGCGATTCTTCCCACCGCGCCCCGCATCCCCAGAACGCCGCCCCTCACTAGCTCCTCGCCAGCCCCACCCTCGCGGGGAGCCCCACCAGGCCCCCATGCACACGGCTCTGCACTCCTCTCTCATCCCCATCCCCCTCACCGTCGAACATCGCCTCGAGTCCCCTGACTTCTAGGTGGCCTCAGAGCCCACACACACCTCACGACCACTCCACGCCCCTCACCTCGGGTCTCCTCGGCCGCGGACTCTGGACAGTCGACGCGCCGAACCGGCTCTGAGACCCGCGCAGCGCCGCAGCTACTTCCTCGTGGGCGAGGGGCGGGGCCTTCGGGCACAGCCCCGCAGGGACCGGGGGCGGGACTCGGGCGGTTGTGGCCAGATCCCAGGTCCCGCCCACCCCTCGGGGTACCAAGCCGCCCGGACCTCAGTTAGTCCAGCTCAGCTCAAGATTCGTCCGGAGATCGTGTGCTGTTGCCCCTAACTACTTTCTGAATGGGGAAACTGAGGCTGGGAGAGGGCGGGGGAGCTGTCTGAGCAGCTAGAGGACGGAAGAATTCAGAGGTTTTGAAGCCACACGCAGGCACCCCGCAACTTAATGACTCCCGCGGGGCCCCGCCCCTCGCACTCTCGGTGCACCCCAAGCACCGTTCCCCGGACTCTCAGTGTCCCAAAGATGGCAGAGTCGCTGGTGTCCAGGAAGAAGAGCACTGCCACTCCAGGTGACTTCTTGCTTCTGTAGTCCACGCACTTCCCTCCAAGGTACTGAACAGCTTTGCAGCCACCTGAGTCAGGTGATGCTCCAGGGTCAAGGGTCATCCAGGTTAGGTTGCTTCTGAAGTTTCTTTGCCTCTCCCTTTAAGAGAGACCCTCCCTAAACTCCCAGCAGTATCCTGTGTCACTAATTCTGGCTTCGTTTACAACCCTACCCCTAACCCTGAGACCCGAACACTTTCTCTAGCGCTGGCTAGCGTGGTTAAAGGTGCCTGTGATAACCCACACCTGTCATCCCAGCACTGGGGAGGTAGAGGAAGAAAGATGAGCTTCAAGTTCAACCTTGGCTGTATAGCTAGTTGAAGGGCAGCCTGGGTTGCATGAAACACAAAGCCTGTCTCAAAACACAAAGAAATGGGCCGGCAAGATGGCTCAGATGGCAAAGGTGCTTGCTACCCAGCCTAAGGACCTGAATTGAACTCCCAGCACTTACAGGGTAAGGAGAGACTAGCCTCCTTTAGGTAGGTTTTCTTATGTCTTCCACACTCATGCCAGCCATAGTGAACTACAGTGTGTAAACACACATACAGGGTAAGTAAATAAATGTCATACTTCTTTTGTTTGTTTGTGGTTTTTGAGGCAGGGTTTCTCTGTGTGGCCCTGGCTGTCCTGGAATTAGCTCCGTAGGCCAGACTGCCCTTGAACTCAGAGATCCACCTGTCTCTGTCTCTGAGTTCTGGGACTAAAGAAGTGCACCACCATGCACGGTGCAATAAAATATTCTAAGTTTGGAGCGGTTGCACATTGAACACCCGGCCCATGCTCAGTGATTATATATATATCTTAACTCTCCTTAAGTTTCTGGGGCTGGACTTGAACTCTGGCAGGACTTGAGCTTGCGATTCTCCTGCCTCTGTTTCCCTGTGCCACCAGACTCACCCAGCTCAGTAAGATTTAGGTCGCATTTTCATGAGTCATCCTCCTGCCACCAACACAGAGCCTTGACCCTGTGCCCCCGCTTTGCCATTCCTGTAGGTTTGTATCTGTAGCCTTGGCGGTGCCAGGTATCTTTAGTTTAGCTAAGAAAACCTGCACCAGCAGTCTCCTTCCAGTGGGAAGTGCATCCCTGACTCGCAATCTGTCTCTGTTCCCTCAGCTCTATAAAAGCCCAGCAATGGCCCCAGGAGGCCTTGAGGGATCTGACTCCATAAGCTTGTGGTGTCCTATAGTCCTCTGTCCTGGGCTAGTGACCTTAAATGACCCAGTGTCTTCAGAGGATGGACAAAGCAAAACCAAGCTCAGGACTCTAGGCAGTGGCCCACTACAGAGAAGCCCCTCTCAATGAGCTGTATGAGTAAAGAGCAGTAGCCCCCAAGAGGAGAGGAGTCCTCAAAGCAGAACACAGGACAAGACAATCCCGCAGAGAAAACCAGAGCTCTGGTCAGCGCTTGTCAGCTCTGGTCAGCCCTGGTCAGCTCTGGTCAGCTCTGGTCAGCCCTGGTCAGCCCTGGTCAGCTCTGGTCAGCCCTGGTCAGCTCTGGTCAGCTTGAACTCAAGCTCCTTTCAAGAAGGTTAAGATTCATGGGCCAGGTTTTTGTTTTGTTATGATGGTGAGTATGAATCCAAGGCCTTACACATGCTCTGAGCCACACCCCAGCCCTTCACTGGGGGATTCTAACAGATATAAGGTGCCTCAAGCCCCTATCTGCTTAATTAAGTTAGTTTGTGAATTTTTTTGTTTTTTTTTGTTTGTTTGTTTGTTTGTTTGTTTTTCGAGACAGGGTTTCTCTGTGTAGCCCTGGCTGTCCTGGGACTCACTCTGTAGACCAGGCTGGCCTCGAACTCAGAAATCCACCTGCCTTTGCCTCCCAAGTGCTGGGATTAAAGGCATGTGCCACCACTGCCCGGCGTGATTTTTTTTTAAAAAAGGAATCTCTAAGAACTGCTTCTTTCTGCTGTGGGAATGGACCTGAGAGGATGAAAAAAAACTCATGACATATCTGCAGCCATGTTTGTGCCACTGGCTCTTCTGCCCTCAGACCCTGGTAGAGAGGCTGCACTTGGCACTATCTATAGAATGAATGAATGAATGAATGATAAAATGCTAGAAAAACGAATAGAATTCTGGTTCTGTCACTTAACCTTGACCTGGGTCAAGTCACCCTTGCTCTGCCTCAGTTTCCACAGCTGTAAAGTCAGGCTTCTCAGGTACTGCCTCCAACCCCACCTCTCGGAGGAAAATAGATGTTAAGCATCTCCTGAAGCCTCCCTTTAGGTGCTTGAACCTCTTGAGAAGAAAGTCACTGTGGGTAGTGCTGACTAGGCATGTTAGGTTGCCAGGACTTTACACCCTAGAGATCCTCCTGATTTTACTTCCCAGATCACAGGCACATGTCACTATGTCTGTTTTTGTTTATTTTTGAGACAAGTTCTCACAGTGTAGCCCTGGCTGGCCTGGATTTACACTGACCTGCCTGCCCCTGCCTCCTGAGTGTTAGGATTAAAAGTGTGTGCCACCATGGCCAGATAGCTTTTTTTTTTTTAAAAAAAGAAAATCTAATCTATTTTAGGTATATGGATATTTTGCTTGCATGTATGTGCACCAAGTGTGTGCAGTACCCTCAGGGGTTGGACAGGGTATCGGGTCCCCTGGAACTGAAGTCATGGTTGTTGGCAGCTACTGTATGGTGCTGGGAATTCAATTCAGGTTCTTGGCAAGAGCAGCAAAGGATCTTAACCGGTGAGTACCTCACTCCCAACCCAGATAGGATCTCTCTCTATAGCTCTGGCTGTTCTGGAACTCATCATATAGACTTGCTTGCCTCTGTCTCTGTGTCGGATTAAAGGCATGTGCCACCACATCTGGGTTTTTTTTTTTTTTAAGTGGGTTCAGGGCTGGAACTTGGATCCTTACAAAACAAGTATTCTGCCATTTCCCCAGCCCTTTCTTCCTTTTCTTTTTTTAAACTTCATTTTATGTGCATTGGTGTTTTGCCTGCATGCATGTCTGTGAGAGGGTGCCAGATCTTAGAGTTACAGACAGTTGTGAGCTGCCATGTGGATGCTGGGAATTGAACCTGGGTCCTCTGGAAGAGCAGCCAGTGTTCTTAACCGCTGAGCCATCTCTCCAAGCCCCTTGTTTGTGTCAGCTGACATGGACATTAAAAACAGATGGTTCAGATGGTCAGTTGTCCTATGACCTCCACATGTGCACTGTGGTGTGCATGTCCCTGATACAAAATAAATAAAAATACAATAAAAACTAACACAAAAAGGAAACTTCAGACTGCAAAGTTCTCCCCCACACCCCCTTGGCCCCCCCTTTCCACCTCAGGGTCTTTATAGCCTAGGCTGACCCAGAATCCAAACTCCCCCTACGTTGGGCTCCCTGGTTGCAGGGATTACACTGACAGGGTGCACTATAGAAGCTTCATGGCCTCAAGTGAAGCAAGTCTTTGGAGAAGAGGGCTTGGGGGACGCCACCTCGGATGGCTGTCTCTTCCAGGAATGTGCGCACACACTGCCTGGGGAACCAAGATGAGCCACTCTCCTCTCTGCTGCATCGATGGTTTCCAAGAAATGTAGCCTCACGCAGGTCACTTAGGAGGAGGGAGTCGGGTGGGGCTGGTACAGCATCTTCCATTAGCTTGTGCTGCTGGTTCTCAGCTCTCCCTCCCCCGCCCCCTGCAGCAGCCTTGCTGCCTCCCAAGCACAGCTGACTGGACCAGTCAAGATAGTGGGAGACCTTCCCCAGCAGCTCCAGATATAATGTCCCCTTTGTTGCAAGGGCCAGAACACAATTTCCTGCCACCCAAGGCCACACCTCTGTGTAACTGGTCAAAGGGCCAGAGGCGGGGATGTCCAACAGCAGCCTTGGCCCATGGCATCCCAGCACAGTTCTCAAGGGCCCTCGGCTACACGACCCATCTTCTCAGTCAGAATATTCCATGGACAATTGTGGAATTCAAGGTTTTGTTTGCATTCAGTACCTGTTTTAGCATATTCAAGTACACAAGTCCATGTGTTTACAGAGAAGCTCCTGATTTCAGGGTCACAGAAAGGACATTGTAACATGGGAGCTGAGGAGGCAGGGCCAGCAGGGCAGCACTCGGGGGCTATGCTACAACTCTCTCATGGAGACAGTAAGGTTTGCCATGAGTCACCAAAAGGGCCACTGTCTTTACAAATATCATGACGTCCTCTGAGACCCTTGCTAGCCAGCCCCCAGTGTAATGCAAACTACTGCCCTGGGCCTAGGGCCAAAGCCTAGTTAGAAGAGTGCCAGCCTGGCATGCACAGGGCCCTGGATTCTACCATCAGCATCTCATAAGCCACATATAGTTGAACACACATGTAATCCTAGCACACAAAATGTAAGCCAGAGGATCAGTTGTTCAAGATCGTCCTTACTTATGTAGCGAGTTCCAGGCCACCCTGGGATACATAAGAGCCTGCTTCAAAATGATAAACATAAAAATTGCCTATCTGGGGCTGGAGAGATGGCTCAGTGGTTAAGAGCACTGACTGCTCTTCCAGGGGACCTGAGTTCAATTCCCAGCAACCACATGGTAGCTCACAACCATCAGTAATGAGATCTGGTG